TACGTAACAACTCAAGGTTTGCCTTAATTAATTTCTTTTTGTAGCCGTCGTAGGGCCAGACATGTAATTAAATCCAGCATTTAATACCGCCGCTACTTTCGGCTTGCGAAGCCAAATGTAATTGCAACGGACGCGCTTGGAGCGTTGCACTATATTTTTCAAAAGCTCTATCTGGCGATGAGCGAAACGGCTCTTACATCCGATCATTGAACATCAAAGTGCTGTTGATTTCAAATTAAAATCTCGGTGCGTCTTCCAGATAAATATGAGAGTGGCAGAGAAGCATTCAAGTTTACGAGAGCAGAAATATCCGGACGCTTTAATTGCATTTTAAACATTGTATGAGATATGAGATCTATTACGTGGGCATAGTAGCATAAATTACGGACAAAAACGAGTCAAATATTTATGTACCGCATTTTTCGCGTATAATTATCGTGTGCACGTAAAGTGTAATAAAATTTTAATTGTATTTCCACAATCTGCCTCATTGTTTCAAATTAGATAAAAAGTAATTTATACGTTTTCTATATGCCGAACAACGTGTCAATGAGAAAGATCTAAAATTTCGATTAAATAAAATTTCACAAAAAAAAAAACGGGAAAAGAGATCCTCATATTCATTCGTTGTACAGACCTCATACGTGAGTTACAAAATGTTAAAATGTTCTCTAAAATCAGATTAATTATTACAGGTTTTGTTTCGCGACAATTTTCACAAAGATACTCCATACGTCCCTTTCCTCCACAAGTACATATTTACTTATATGAAATGTACACGTTATCCGTTCTTTCATTTTTACCGTTCGGACGTTGCTGTAGTCAGGTTTCGATTACTTTCAAAGCTTTCCATCGCTCCATCTTCAATTACACTTAATCGCCACGACGCTCGCAATAAAACGGTCACCACACTATATCTGTCGTTTGCGATAGCTACGCTTGCTGCTTTTTCGCGCTAAAATGTTTGCTGCGGCAATAGCAAATATAGGAGAACTCGCGAGAGAGACTTTCTCTATCTGTAATCTGTGGCGCCGTTGCGTAGCGTCATCTCGATCTATCCGATCGCAGAAAAAATTATTCGAGGGCGATTACTGGCAAAGGAGAACGCAAATTATAAAAGCCAGAATGGAAGAAATCGCAATGTTCGATCATGTCCACGATGAATCAGGGATCTCTTCCAAAAGTGCACGTTCCACTAAGGGCATGATTGCCAGCAGCCAAACTATCAAAGTTCCGTAGCCGCGATAAACTTCATATTCAAGCACGAACTTCAAAAAGTAATTATCTTAATGTGGTACAATTTGCACTCCTGTTATCACGCACGTGCACACACACACATACACGATTTTCTTTTATTCGTGCAAAATTTGAGCTGCAATATACTCGCGTAAATCTCGATTGAACATTACTGCCCTACGATGTAGGATTATCTATAATAAATATTTAGGTTGCCATAAAACTTCTTGTTGATCCAACTGGCAATATAATTAATTAAATAAGAATAAAAAGAAACGGTATATGAATTCACAATTTAATAAAATTTACAAGGGAAGGCTATCTGCACGCCTTGGACTCGCATTGGCCATTCTTATTTGTTGTTTAATTAATTAGATGTTACATTTGGTACGACGGTTCGACCCAAGTATCAGGTCCTTATCAAGTAACCGAACTCGTGCAAAGATGTTCGCAGAGCATTTTACCTATGATTTTTACCCATGACTCAGTTCAACTCGGAACTTTATAACGTGCGAACGTGGTCACGTAAGTTAAAATAATTTTTCCGACGATTTCCTGCGTTGACAATGACCTGTGAGTCTGCTAAAATTTATGCTCTGCGAACATCTATGCACGAGTTCGGTTACTTGATAAGGACCTGATACTTGGGCCGAAACGTCGTACCAGATGTAACATTTAATTAATTATATTGCCAGTTGGATCAACAAGAGGTTTTATTTCAATTTTATTCACCACTGGTGACTTTAAGTATACTCCTCTACTGGTTATTTAGGTTGCTGTGAACAATTGTTTTTAACAACAAACTCGATACTGCGCGGCAGTGAGAAATAAAGAACTCTGTGATTCACTGTACGGCGTAGCTGACAGACGGTTTGGAACACTGTTGCACGCTAAGATTAACGAGTAATCCGTTATCCGACGATGCGGTTCGTCATCGAGGGACATGCGATCGCTCCGGACGTTTAATCGCATCCTCCCATGACTTTTAATTAGAAGCCGCAATGACGGACTGCAGTTTCCAGGAGTATTGCGCGGGCGATACTCAGCTCGAGCGTTACAATATACACGCTGGCCGGGAAGACACCTACGTATTATATTATCGACTTTGTGATAGAGCGATCTCCACGCTCAATGACCCCGCTGCATAATGAGGTGTTGAGAGTTGCATTGCGGCTATACAACCACATCCGCCTCTTCTCTCCTGCGGTCAAATAGATAGAACGCCGCGATGCGCCATTCAGCGATGGCCGGTAAACACGGTCAATCATTTATTTTCAAGATCAGTTCTTCGCGCGTCCAATTAATCGCGGAAATTGCTATATTGCTCGAATTATAATTAAAAATTTTTTAATTAAAATTGACTGTTTGAGCTTATTTCGGGATATTCGGTCGCAAGAGTGGAAAAAATGTTAAAATAATTTATCAAGTGTTTTAATAAAAGTGAAAATGCCACGTGCCACAGCCTAAATTACTTTGTACCTTGATTAATTCATGACGAACGAATTATTGCAAGTGCAACTAGCTCGATCTATTGTCCAACAGCCATTAGCTTCGTTATAATTGTTATATTATTGTCCAAAGGTACAATCTAAATTTCAATGACATAATCGGCTTTTAATATTACATTATACATTGAATACTTATTAATTTCCATTATTGTATATCGTTTAATTATAACGTATTCGTTATTTCGTAATAAATGGATTTTGTCGTTAATCATTTTATGTATCATTTCATTTCTTTCGATGTATTAAATACAATACCTGTATCTATTATTGCAGATATTTTATTCCGTTTAATATGCTTAAATGAATTCCGATTTTATAATCCTTGCGATTGCGAATTCGACGATTGATTCCGCGACTCTTTTAGCTGATATCGCACCTTTTCGCAAAAAAAAAACTGTGCACAGCTCAAAGGATACTGTTCCGTACCGCGACTGTATTTGCCGATGATTAAAGTCCCACAAAGCTCGTTGGCTACGACAATGAGCCGAACGTGTCCCTCGAAGCGAGATACGGGTAAACGAACAACGGAAACGCGGAAACGGAAGTTCTCTAAGTTGATCGGAAAAAGTTTCGCGGCTACACAATATTCGCGCCCGAAAATTAACATAAGAGGTCCTCTTTGCTAAGCCGAACTTGAGCCTTCACTCGGGGAAACTTCGGGGAAAGGTCAGAGTCTGCTGCAGGTTTTCCGTGCTTACTCGACGGCGAACGTAAGCGGGCATCGTGTCTCGTTATTCACGCTGTCCGATTTCTTTCGCGCTCGCACGTACCTGCCGCGGGCTTGTGTTTGCCGTTCCATTAGCCGGAAAAATGTATGAATATGCAGCAAGAACGGTTTATCCGTACTGTTCACGTCACGCGGATTTACGTGTTAGTGTCCCTGACATCGTACTTAATTATATTTCCTAGCGACGCGTCGAAAAAGTTCTCCAGCTTCGGATTAGTTCTCTAACTACGGAGCTATTAACCGGACATCGAAATCATTTTCTATCCACGTTGAAGCGATATTTTCCTAGTATCCTCGTGAAGCTTCTTTCTGGTCCAATACATTTTCAATTTAAGTCGTGTACTTTACGTCGAGTATATTAACGAAATATTACAATTCGCAAACATTACCTCTTCTCGTCTTATCCTTTAATCACTAATTAAAGTTTACTGATATTGAATACCGGTTGCTAAGAGCTATTGTACATAAAAAGAGGATAATGTGTTGCAATAATAGATGTTTTATAATATTATCGAGTATACATCGACGCTCAATGCCAAATTGATGACGCATACGTTGCGGTGTGCATAATTAGCAATGTTTGGAATTATTAATAGAAGGATTTATTACTCCCGCTGCACGTAACATACCCGGCATATGTCATTCGATGATATGCGTTCGTACTTTCATGTAAAGCATTATTGAAATAAACGATTTCGTTTATTTAATAACGTGTATTACAATCTTAAACTATCGTTCAAATAAGTAATAACGCTGACCGGTAAAGATTGACTTGTAGGGGCTGAACCATTGTTCAGCTCCCGTCATAATTAATTTAATGCTTCTAGCCATTACAAGGTAAGGTCATAAGGTTTATTGCGCTTCAGTCTTCTCAACTTGTCCTCGGGGGCTTAGGAGCAAAGCAGCTTCAGTATTTATATGATTAGTCAGTCTCCTCTCATGATTTAGCAAAGTCCTATCAAGTTAGTCAAAGATATCATTGACTAAATTCAGATCAAGGTCTCTGTGTAATCCTCATTACACTGACACCATCTGGCATTTGTTATTGTACGGATAATACCATTTCGCAGTCGTTAAATTTTCAGTCGGTTAGAGTTGTTTGCACATCCCCGTAGTTGGATCCCGTAAGTCTACATGGGTCTGATGATCATCAGATAGGGTAATATTTTGCACTCAAGATCGAGTTTTGACTTGCGTCCAATTAGCCAGTACACTTGTCGTATTTTAAGGCGGATATGTTGAAATGTACGATTTGAAGAAATATTCGAAGCATTCAAAGATAGTAATTTGCGTGTTACATTAGAGGGACGCGTCGCGAGACCAACGGAGAATGCTATTGGTAGCCGCCGAAAATGCGTAATCAGCGTAAACGCGATTCGAGCGATTCGTTAGTTTCACTCCTCGAAGGGGGGAAAAAAGGGAGAAACAGCGGATGATAAAGTGACAAAGCGAGCAACTAAAAATGGTACCTCACTTGTTAAACTACATTGAATTAATTAACAAGATTGTCGTGTAGCGGACTACGTTACCTGACACTCGTACGTCCCATTGTCTCTTTCTTGGACGTATTTTATTTGAAGGGTCCAATCGTCCGAGCCCTCGGGATGCAGTACTTGAAATCGCTCGTCGTTCGTGTATGTGAACATGGAGCTTGTTAAAACGTGAAAGTCACGTCGCCGGATCCACGATATCTAAAACACGAATATTAAGTGACAATATTAATAAATGCTCAAAAACTTATTTACTCAGTTTCGCAACAATAAAATCAAAAGTAGGTGATATCCGTAGCAAAGGTACGGGAAATTTCACATCTCTCGTGTAAACCAATTTTGTCTTAATACGAAAAATACATTAATTTAGCAAATTAAAATGTCAAATGGATAATCTGTTTAATTTGACAGACATATTCATAACTGAATATGAGAGACACATATTGAATTTTAATTGAAATAAATATTGTTAAAAAAAATGTGACGCTACCAGCACGTATATTTGCGCTCATATAAATTGAATTAACATAACCGATCGGATTGAAACTGAAAATGATGCCGGGTGTTTTTAATGGCTCTTGACGGGCACAAAATAGTTATTTTCACAGATATAAAAAGTCATAATAAAATGGTAATGGTACAAAAATGTTGCTCTTATGTAAATAATACGCAATCTATATATTGCGCAAAACAGGAAAGAGATTCGGTACAGTCATGAATATGTCGTGTTAAAATAATCCTGTTTGATACATTGGCGTTTTGTGTAAATAAAGCGAAAAAGATGAACGATCGTTATACCACGTGAAATGGAAACGTGTTTAACTTTATGTGACAACTGCGAAAAATTTTCAAGTAAAATATTTTGTTATATCAACTCCAGATATGAAGTAATTCGAGCATAAAACCTAGTTTAATTAAACATCAGATTATTAAAAGAATGCAATCATGTGTTGTGTAAACATTTTATACGAAATTTAATTATAATCTCACTGCAACGAATGAGACGCTCTTGTTGCATCTTGCTTTTAATATAACATTAAACGAGGACAGAAGTTTACGTTTTTTAAATAGCGAATTGTGCTTTATTTGAACTATACTGATGTTTTAATATAAACAAATTTTATTAGAGAACTTTTATTGTAAAATTCCCAGCGTGCAAAATTATTATAACATTTGTTTCTATATATACAAAGCAAAGAGTACACAAATGAAAAGGAATGAGAAACCGGCTTATCTCTGGTCTTGTTTCTTGTAGATACGCGCGAATATTAAAATAATAATTATTTTTACAAACTACATAATTGTACAGATATAAATACACGAAAAGCGAGTAAAAAATTCATTTCTATATTTCCCGCAAACCATTTTCGTGTTTCTCGCAATTACAATCGCTATTGTTTACCAAACGAGAGAGTTTACGAAGCGGAGTCTGTGGAGAACTGGTTTTAGCGGTACTTAGTAACTTCGCCCCTGCTCAAACGCTACGACCTGTCTTGCGACCCGGTGGGACCGAGCACGATATTGCATAAATAGTAAAATTGTGAGAGCCGGAAATACGATCTCAACCTCCGGGGGAATGCGGCAGACCTGCTCGCATTCTCCTCAGACGGGCTGCCTGCTTCCTTCCTCCGCTGGATGCTTTAAGATCATTGTAGAAAGAGAATGCATAAAACATAAGGTATAAACCTCACGGCCAATCACGGTATCTCTATCGAATTGTCACGTATGAAGCACATATAAATGCCGCGCGATATCAGATTATGCGCAATGGCATAAATTTTTACATTTTTATCTCAACGACAAGCGAATCGATAAATATGTAGACGGGAACTTTTGTATCCTAATTAAATGACATTGTTCTATTTTGAATTCATCGTGTAATTAAATATCTTTTTTTACTCGCGTTGTGAGCTTATCGAAAGTAGCACTTTTTAATTTCCGTCACAGTATACGAATAGATAACTTTTCCAATTAGATTCAATAGTATTAGTTTACAGAATATATTTCAGCAAATGTTAAATCAGATTTCGAACGACACATAAAATTTTCGTAGCAGTAATATTAAGTTTTTACTTGCCGTTTTATGTATGCAAATAGAGAGAAGTGTGTTGACTCAATTGTTTGCCGACTGTAACATTCAGTATGATATACGATTCGTGGAAATACAATGCATATATATATAGTACTTCTTTCTGTTTTAGATAAGATAAATAGCAGGAGAAACTTGTAAAGTTGCGTTTACGTCGACGTAAATATGCTAATTTCTGGTACAGCATTACGTTTACATAATAATATTAATTTACAGACTTTTCGCGACGCTGGCAAGCTGGACAAGACGCGCGGAAATTTCAAGTGGCGAAACTTCGCCGCAGTATGATTGCCAGCTCTGGGCTACAATCAAGTGCTTCAATGTTTCCAGGCATTCGGAAGAGATCGCTTCGTCCGAAAGCATTAAACCACTCGAGGTACTTCGATCGGCTTCAAACTTTAGATTGATGTGAAATTTCTCGGTAGACCAATTATTATGGATTTGCCTTTCTTCTTCTGTAATCTGTAAAAGCCCGACTTATTTTAGAGCACGTCTTCGAAGAGATGATCACGAGAGACACAGTAGGACGAAGCGATGATTTCAGCATGATCTTGGCGTAATTTTTCCTTGGATGTGTATCGGAACTTTTCATCTTCCAGGGACCATTTCATTGTACATTCCCCTCTAGACCGTACAACTTTTATTTTGACAGATTTTTTGTGAAATTGCATATTTTCGAAATATTTGCCTGTTAAGTTTAAAAAGACTTACCTTATATAATAAATAATACCTTAAGTGGTACGCATTCGGCAACTCTCGCCTATATTTAAGCGTTCCTTCTGGTTTCTTCGCAAGTGTGCTTTATAAGATTAAACGTGGGTCCGTATATCGAAAAGTGCTTTTTTTTCTGACTAAAACCGAAAACGATCGTAGACTCATCCGATAGTGATTCAGGGAGGAGAGTTTGTTCCGACGACTCTTGAGACTCGATGAGTGTTCCGGACGAAAGGCATGCCCGACGTGAAAAGTTTACGTCGTCGAAATTTCGACAGAACAACCGGCGAGGTCGATTCTATTGCCGGTGTAGAGTGCAGCAGTCTGTATGATGTATGTAGGTCAGCGTTTCTCTCATCCTTTTACGTTCAGTGGACCATCGGCGCATCAATTGAAAGAAGTATGTCGCTATGTTGCGGTACGTCAGTGTATATTCGTGCGATACTTGAAGACATGTTTGAAAAAGTATCAGACGAACGAGCGAAAACACGTTGGCTTCTTGTATATCGCGGAATACACACGAAAGACTTTTCGAACATGCATTTTTCTTCGTTCTTCACTGTTCTCCATCATTTACCTGTTACGAAATTCAACATGTTAATCCAATGCTACGCAATAATTTTAGAAGAGATCACTTTCGTTACTGTCTTTATCGGTACATTTCAAACGTGTAAACATTAGAGATTTTATTATCGATTAACTGTATTGTCTGCTCAAGTCAAGAAACCAATAGAATGGAATATCTTCTTAATTCTTGATTTGCTTCGTTGTTTTATACCGTGTAAATCTATTCAATGAAGAGAGCAGGAGAATATATTCCGGAAGCAGATTGGTGATGGATACAATGAGTAACATTAGGTTCATGTAACCTCCATGGGTGACTGACCACAGCCAGTGCTTGGTTATCTCACTAAAGGATTAGGTCAGGTATATCCTGTCTGGCTTTTCAGTTTCTGTTTCACGCTACTCGAACATCATGAAACGTTATGGTTGCGGTATTTACGTCTAAAGTTCCGCGTGTTGCCGCAAATGTTATTTTCGAACCCTGCGCTACTTTATCATAATAATATACTTTGATTTCGGTCCAAATATTTGTGGTCCAAATTAATTTGCAGTTACATAGATAATGATAAAGCCGTATCATGTTGAGTCGCGTATACGCACGATAGATCTAGTTTGATAAATGCCAATGTGAATGCTGGCATTTTGACGGAGCAGATGAAACGATTAGATTTATCCTTATTATGTTTCAATAAATCTAACACGAGATGGCAATTACGACACCCCGATCGCTCATACGACCCGACACATTTCTAGATTGGGGCGATTAATCACAAAGGCATTATCACAGGCTCAATGTCGCGAATCCATGTAGTCATTTTAAACGAAGGTTAAATGTTATCAATCCAAAAGTTTGTTCGTATTTATTTGCACAAGAATATGCGTGATAAATAATATCTAGTATAAAATAGAAAACTGCTAGTATAAAGTTGTTAGTAAAATATGGGTAACAAGCTGAACGTGCAAAAAGCCTATTTATTTTATTACAAATTTGTTAAAAAATTGGAGTAATTTGATACAATCAAACACCGCAAAACAGGACGAAGCTAGCTCACATTTTGCAATCTATTGATTTAATTCAAGTTATATATTCGTATCATAAACGATATTAAATTTTCAATCTTTCGATTGGATATTCGATCATTTTATGTAAAAGCTCAAGTGCCTTATGTATATTTCATATTATATACACTTCATATAGTGCCTCTTCATGCACCATTATAAAGCGCTTTGGATCTCGAGTAAAAAATAGTAAAAAATAAATCATCCCTTTCCTACAGAGTTTACAAAAAAGAGATAATCTCTTCAAGATTATTTCTCGCAGCAAGTGCCGCGTTATTTGAATCATAGTCTCGCGCGAAATCTTGGTGCGCGCGTTATCGGCGAGATCGCGCGTGCAATGTGATATCAGACAGACCGGAGGCTCGGTCGCGCGACGCAATCGCTTCGCCTATCGGGCCGAGGCGATCGCGCGAGATCGTCAACGGCGAGAAAAAAAAATTGGGGAGAGAAATCGAAAAAAAAAGAAGAACACACACACACACAGGGACACGTTACGTAGAGTGGAGCGATAACGGGGAGAGTCTCCGCGTTGCGTGCCGGCTCGTTTCGTATCACCGCTCGAACGGAACGAAGCGTGATTGCTGGGCGCTATCTCGGGACATGCGAGATCGCTCGGTTATACGAGCGCGCGATCCGGCGATAACCCGTGCCGGTCCCGCCACCGATTGTTAACGCGTTAATGGAGTTACTAAATGCGAACGCGCGCACAGTCCCTCAACACAACACGCGGCGGCTTCGGTGTATCTCACGTTCTCTCTCTCTCTCTCTCTCTCCC